TTGACCGGCGCGTGTTTCTATAACGACATACCCTTCAAACTGACAATTTGTTGTATATATTTAGATTAGAGAGTATACAATACCGCTCATAATTTGTCAAAAAAGTCGCCGGACTGCGGCGCACTCCGCCGCACTCTGCCGCAGTGCGCCGGAGTGTGGCAGAGCGCGCCGGAGTGTGGCAGAGTCCGCCACAGCCCGCCGCAGTGCGCCGGAATTCGTCAATTTAGCCATATCTCGCTTCAGAATGGACGAATTCTGAATCCGAGAACACCGTTCGATTCAGCTCGACGAGACGCATCAACTTATATATGAAGCTGAACGTCTGTTTGTCGGTTTGTCTGTACGTATGTTCCGAACAGAAAAATCCATTTCTGAACCGACCCGGACCAAACTTGGCACACATACACTTCGGGCTCCGGCGGGTGTCATAGGCTACTTTCCGTCATCGGTCGATATCGATTTTATCGATCTTTATCGATTTTTTTGCAGAGTTCACCTACGGGCTGGGAGTTTGCACAGGGGGGTAATCGAGCATGGGGATTCCGAATACAATTTTAGTTTTCAGAATTATCGATTATTATTTTGGTTGAATTCAGTGTGCTAGAGTATTAATATTGATCTGTCGCTGATGACACATAGACAGTATACTATAGGAGTATGGTAGAGAGCCACTCTGATCGAATTTGTTCTAAGATCTGCTCAAGATCACAATACCGCGCACAGAATGTCAAATTTCCGTGAACTTCGCGGAATCCCGGGATTTCCGCCAGTGCGTGATAATCCGGGAAGTTTGCGACATTTCAGGATCCGCGAAACCATGCGAATCGCGCAGAGTACGCAATGCCATAACTTCCTTCGGAATGAATATATTCCGAATCCAGAAGCAGCATTGTGTTCAGATCGTCGAGGCAAATATTTTGGTATACAGTATGCTCTCGATATTCCATTTCCAGTTTTTTCGAATTTTTTCTGTGGAGGTCTTTTCGCAAGGATGTAACGCAGCGTCGTGTAACGTAAAAGAATCCAGTAAGCACTGTTCGATAGTACTGTTCTTCTAGGTCATCGTGCGTTCAAGAGTAGCTGCAGACTGTCTCCCAAAAGAGATACAAGCGTTGGTGAATTTTGGAAAAATCACGCGTTTCTAAATTCTACTCGCCGTATTTTCCTTCGGAATGAATATATGATATGACACGATGATCAAATCTTTTCACATTCTTAATGGATCCTATTGTGAGATTTGGTGATTTGAGCTCTGGCCACAAAACAGCTTTGATATTCAATTGCTGAAACACACGCAAGCACCATATTCAATACAGTGGAGTTATTGAGCGAAGCGAACATAATGTCCGCAATGCGAGTGTCATACAAGCACTCACGGTGGGATTTCGACGAAATTTGCTATCTTTACAATCTGAGCAAAATTCATGCGAACGTGTCTTCGTAGGCTCGTAACTCGGCGAATTTCATAGAATGGAGCCTAAGTCTTGCGGCATTCGATAGCACATCTCCTAGTAACTTCGACTAGTAAAGCAAGCAGGTAGGTGTCTTTGACAGACACGTGAGAGGTGGAGGCGAACTTACGAGCTTTCGTGATGCAGTTACAGTCACCTCACCGTATCTCTCCAAGAAGACCCTATAATCCTCAAAGACCACGATTTTCGTAAAGAGCGTGTTCGAAAACCTCTTTAAGCGAAGTTTCCTTACATTTTAAGAGCATGAACATTTTGACCAAAATCCATCGGCCAGCTTCAGAGCGTAAAACGAGAAAAAATGAAATTACTCGAACATCTTGGAAAACTTGCTTATAATGGTTATCCGAACTGCTGATTACGAAAATCACATCTGCTTAGCAAGAGAGCTTCATATTTTAGAGTTACGTTGAGAAAAATTTAGAACGACATGATTTTTCCAGAATTCACCAGCCCTTCCAACTCCTATGGAAAGATGCCTGTGACTACTTTTTAGCGCTGCGTAATCTACAGAAAAAGTGCTATCGAAAGGTCCTTGCTGGAGTCTACTAGGGGCAATGCGCGCTGCTTTACACCTTCACGAAAAGACATCTACAGAAAAATTTGAGAATATTGAAATCGGAATATCAAGGATATGCTGTGTATCGAAAGACTTGCCTTGATGAACTGAGCACAAAGCTTTCTTCGAATTCAGAATATGTTCATTCCGAAGGAAAATACGGCGAGTAGAATTTAGAAACGCGTGATTTTTCCAAAATTCACCAACGCTTGTATCTCTTTTGGGAGACAGTCTGCAGCTACTCTTGAACGCACGATAACCTACAAGAACAGTACTATCGAACAGTGCTTACTGGATTCTTTTACGTTACACGACGCTGCGTTACATCCTTGCGAAAAGACCTCCACAGAAAAAATTCGAAAAAACTGGAAATGGAATATCGAGAGCATACTGTATACCAAAATATTTGCCTCGACGATCTGAACACAATGCTGCTTCTGGATTCGGAATATATTCATTCCGAAGGAAGTTATGGCATTGCGTACTCTGCGCGATTCGCATGGTTTCGCGGATCCTGAAATGTCGCAAACTTCCCGGATTATCACGCACTGGCGGAAATCCCGGGATTCTGCGAAGTTCACGGAAGTTTGACATTCTGTGCGCGGTATTGTGATCTTGAGCAGATCTTAGAACAAATTCGATCAGAGTGGCTCTCTACCATACTCCTATAGTATATTGTCTATGTGTCATCAGCGACAGATCAATATTAATACTCTAGCACACTGAATTCAACCAAAATAATAATCGATAATTCTGAAAACTAAAATTGTATTCGGAATCCCCATGCTCGATTACCCCCCTGTGCAAACTCCCAGCCCCGTAGCTGAAACTTTGCAAAAAAATCGATAAAATCGATAAAAGTAATCGATAATCCTGAAAACTAATATTGTGTTCGGAATCCCCATGCTCGATTACCCCCCTAAGCAAACTCCCAGCCCCGTAGGTGAACTCTGCAAAAAAATCGATAAAGATCGATAAAATCGATATCGATCGATGACGAAAAGTAGCCTATGACACCCGCCGGAGCCCGAAGTGTATGTGTGCCAAGTTTGGTCCGGGTCGGTTCAGAAATGGATTTTTCTATTCGGAACATACGTACAGACAAACCGACAAACAGACGTTCAGCTTCATATATAAGATGATGCGTCTCGTCGAGCTGAATCGAACGGTGTTCTCGGATTCAGAATTCGTCCATTCTGAAGCGAGATATGGCTAAATTGACGATCATTCCGGCGCACTGCGGCGGAGTGTGGCGGACTCTGCCACACTCCGGCGCGCTCTGCCACACTCCGGCGCACTGCGGCAGAGTGCGGCGGAGTGCGCCGCAGTCCGGCGACTTTTTTGACAAATTATGAGCGGTATTGTACTTGCTTATTGGATTTGCACTGATTTTATAAATGGACAGTGTGGACTAAAACTGGCAAGACCAAATTGCAAAGCCAATATAACACCACTGAAAAATATGGAAAGCCTATGTTGGAGATCAGCCAAATTGTATTTTGTTGAAGGTAATCTCGTAAGTCAAAAAACCTTTCAAACAATGTGAAAATGAACGAATCAGAGTAGCGATTAAAAGAACAAAAAATGGCAATCGTCTTCCTTTATATTAGGTTGGTGATAATCAATGCAATTGAAAATTGCATGCTATCTGAATTAGTTCCTGGTCCCAAAATTTCTTTTCTTCAGCTCCTTTTGCTCTAGACCCAAGAAATATGTCTGGATAATTGTGTATGATTTCTCATGCCATATGAGATTTGGTAAAGCTCTCTATTGTGGCTTTACTTTTCCACTTATCGTCGTCTTTAGAGCTCCAGGTGAGCGATTTTGATCTTATACTCTACTCCATTAAATGCCTTATCGACCTTCAGCTAGTATTGAGCACCCATCTCTTTGAATTGATTAACAAAATTCTCAGAATGTAGAAAACGACCCAATCCTTCCTTCGCTTCACTGTTGGAGCACTGATGATGTTGTCCAGCCACATCCTTTGTTACAGTTGAAAAAGCCATATTAAGAAGTCATGGGTTGATATTACCATAGTACTGTTTTATAGCACATAGCGGTGTAAACGGCAAAAAGTGTGATCGTTTAAAATTCTCTTCTGTTGTTCATCGCTGGGTTTCTTTGCGAGATCTATGAGTTTGAGAATTTGCTGCACACATATGTTAGCCCCTAAGCCAAAAGCATCATTGTCATAGTCTGCGTCGCCATGTTGTTTATGTTTATCCTCTAGTGGCGAGTTCAGACGCTACGTCTTTTATTGGCTAGAGGTTCCTTTGAGTCTAACTTTGAGTTACTCAGACTCTTCAACGAAGGGCTCACGCATTATACATTCTATTCAAATTACTCCAACATTCGCGCGGTCACCAACATTGCCATGCGGACGTATGCATTGTCGCTGTAATAGAGTCTATTGCGTATAAGCTTTTTCTTGATGTCTGCACAGCGTGGGATGCATTTCAGTAAAATTTCGGAGTGCGTAGCTAAGGCCATGCACGTCTCTTCGAAGAAATTTTGGGCGTCCCCCCCCCCTCGATCCGTAATCCTAGGATCCCGCCGCCTCATATGCACAACGCTTAAAACTATGCGCAAGTGTCACCCAGAATCACTTTTTGCAAAAATGCAAAGATTATACTGTAAGCGCACGCCAACATATCGAGACGTACAATTCCACTTCATTGTGATCTGACATACTCGTAGTAAAAAAATAGATAGTTTTGGTAAGAAACAGAAGCTGGATCCTTTTTATTGGCACCTGAGTGAAAGATTGCTTGAACTTCGAATCTGCAGGCTCTGACGAAGGCGACATCGCTAAAACGTTAGCCGATAAAGAATTGATACAAATCTTGGTTGTCGCTGAAACAGAAGCTGGACTGTGTGGACCAGATGGTGGAAGAGGTTGTAAAAATGTGCGCATCATCTGTGTGCACAATGACTGTTTCTCATGCAAATGTGAGTCAGACATTTCTATTCGTCAGGCTCTCGATCCATCACTTCGAAGCCGAACTATCCTTGGAGCGTAGGCGTCGCCTCGAACAGCAGCTGTTCGTCTTGTACTAATCATAGTTCGGAAAAGCTCTCGGTAAGCGATGGAGTTGCTCTGTTCTCGTCAAATCCACCATAAAACGGTATGTGGGGCTGTTTTTCGGCTTTATATTCTTTTCTTAGATTCTCTGCAAAAGCATGCTTTTTTACGAGCAGCAGTTGCTAGTTACCCGTTGAACAACTGTTGCAACCTACAAACTTCACACATAATATCAGTTGTCTGCTTTTTTTTCTCCAGTAGCCAAGCTCAACTAGTTATTCGCAATCTCTGCCATGTTGCTATGAGGCAAAATTCGTCCCATGCCCGTTAGCAATTCGTTGTGAAGGAATACAATTCGTTTTATACCTTCAAGTAGCAATAGGAAGGGACCCGTTCACATTTTTTAACGTACTCAAATACTCTTTTTGATGAGCGGCTCTTTCTATGTCATGGGGCGCTCAGTATATTAATTTTGTGTTCTTCTTCTGTCCTTATGAATGTTTTCCTGAAACATCTCAAAATCTACCATTAGTTTCTGCAAAAAAACCCAGCCTTCCTGATTTTTCTGAAAATTTCCTACTTGTCTTAAAGCTGTTGAGGTCACTCACAAACTATTCCAACAACCAACAACCATTTTCTCTTGCTATCAGCTAGAAAGCTATCAACTAAAATCGAAAAGACAATCGTTTTCTAGAGTATTTTTACTGCCTCCGTTTTCCATTTTCACACTGCTCATCCTATACAATACCGCTCACAGAATGAGCAAAATTTCCGTGGATGTCGTGGATTTCCGCGACACATTTCTGGAATTTTTGGAATTTTTGCACATTCAGTGAGCGGTATTGTAGCGAGGCATATGAGCAGAACATATGACAGAAGTTAGCGTAAAAAAGTTGATGAGTATGATCTTTTACTCTACAACAAAATTTATGCATTTGTACTGTCAATCACAGGAAGGATGTTTCTTCCATGAAACTGGTTAACATGCTTCCCATGATTCCTGAACTAAACTCAGAAAATTTGGTCTGAAAATGGCTGATGAATGCTTCAATTTATATAGCAAGGCTTTTATTGTGATAGATCAATATGGCTTTACCTATTTACGATTTAAGATCACGAGATTCCAAGAATTCTCAGCTTATGGACTAACCGTGCATCAATTATTAGCATTTATTTGATTTGACTACTTTTTGGGATTAAAAGCACAGTCTAAACTATCAAAACGCATCTTTACGATTCTTAAGGGGTACCCAGTGCTTCAGGAAGAATACAAAACTTTCTCTGTTTTCTCCCTGAATAATTGCTTCCCAAGTTGCTGCAACTTTTGAAATAACTCTCCAAGAGAAGATTGTTATGATGATTAGAATGTCTACAACGCACTTGTGACTAATATTCTAAGACAAATCATCCCATGCGATCTAGATTTCTGATTCACTCACACTAGCAAGATTTTTCGCCATCTAGTTGTAAACGAGCATTATATGAGCTCATAAAACAAACGTATTCATGTCTAAAACTTTAGTCTAACTTTTTGTTCAAACTCCTTGAAGTCTTTTCTAGCGCACAAATCTGCCCAAAATCGTTACCGCGAAGTCTATTTTGGAGCAACCTAATGCAACCTCTGCAGGTATACTACGTGAGGGTTTCCTCTCTATAAATGGATATTCGTCGCTAAGTGCATGCAAATCGGATAGAATTTTGAAAAATCGATGTATGAAAAGTTGGGCGTTGGCCCTCCTTTTATCTTCATCACTGAATAGCTTGTCTTACGACGATAAAATTCATTTCGAATACCCTTTGCATTGCATTTTCTACCAAGTCTTGAGAATAGAAGGCGATCCTCTTTATTCAATTTCTGCGCTTGCATAATTTGAGAGATGAAAAGAGCAACATCTGTTGTTTATTTTCTACGTGTTTCATTTGATGTGCGGACTACCTGACATATGAACTGGAAGTGTACCAAAAGCCAAAAACTCTTTCTGAATATCTGTCTGTTTTTTGAAAAAAAACTAGACCACAAAACAAAACGTCTAAAACCGCAGTGTTTTCTCCGCTCAGTAATACGAGGACAGTTTATAGAAGATTTGATAAATCTGAAGCCATCTTAAAACATCTCACTGTATAGGATTGCGATGCTTGCGAAGCTTTGCATATGTTGGTCACGAAATCGTAAAAGTGTATTAGATTGAGTTGAAAGTTCGTTCGCACCATTTTCAAAAACTTTATAACTTCCTTCTTTCTAAAAAGATTTGCACATGTATACTTTGAAAGAATCGTGCTCTACAATTTTTCTATTGACTATACATTGCACTAAAAGCCGCAGAATTACTCTAATATTGGTTTTTCTGTGCGGTCTTTAGGAATCTGAAACTTGATTCGGAGCAGGCAGATTATAGGTTTTCGGTTGAGAAAGAAGGAAGTTATGAATTTTTGACAGTAGTGGGAACAACCATTCCGTTGGCCTTGTATAACGCGCATAGATTCCAAAAATATTCAAGCTAACAGGAATAAAGCAAATTACCACCTGTTACTCAAAATTAAGGGGTTTTCAGCTGATTAAAGATAAATTTCCTAGAGGTGATATTGACAAAGGTGTTGATTCCGCGAGCATGTCCCTTTGACGTTATGTTATGTATGTTCAAGGAGGGCTGCAAAGCAAGTAAGCAAGGTTACTATGTAAATATGTTTTCTGCGGGTTGTTTGTTGGAACTATTGCACACTTTGTCTGAGCAGAAATTCCTGTCTGGCGCATTCGTTTCCAAGTGGGAGGAATAGACGACGGGAAAAAGTACCGACGAGTATTGTTCACATATATCTTACAGCCAAAAAAACCTTATGCCGGCTTGAAAAAAAAGTGTTGTTTTCCTAACGGATGCACAATTGCTCGTCGTGCTAGCTATAGTGTAAAAAAAAATCCGCCATTCACCTATCATCTTCTTTCATCTGCTTCAATCGTTTACATCGTTCCCTTCGGTAAGCCAAACATAAATTGATTTTTGGAGACACCCTAAATAATGTTCTAATTCACCATGGAGAAAGCATGTCTGTGAAAATGTTAGCCATTTCTAGTAGCAGGATTGAATACCAAAATTCTCGCAAGTTTCGCTCAGATTTCACATTATTTGCCATCTTGAGTACTTGACAATAATACTTTTCTCTCGCGCTTTTTTTATCGCGACTTGTTTATGTCGATTTACTAACTGCTTTTTTGAGAGTACATCTTGTTTCGGTTCTGCTACTACTTTAACAAGCAGAATTTGTTCATTATATGCACTAACAGTAAGATATGCTAGAAAGCAAAAACAACTCAACGTAATTCATTTTTGTTACTACACACTCAATAGTAGTTATAGAACTAAGAACCTAGAACTAACCAGTATCCGCTACATGCTTTCGAATTTTCTGCTTCAAAGAGCATTGAACCCCACTCTCTTTTGCTGTAAGGCCTCGGGCAGAGTTCACGCGATTTGATTGTCGCGATTTAACCGCTAAAGACAAGTGTTCCGAGTGTTTATTGCATGCCAATCTTTTTGTATTTCGGTTGTGATAGTTAGTCACGACTGGTCGTGTTGGAAAACTATCACAACCGAGATACAAGATGATCGGCATGCAATGAACTCGTAACACTTGTCTTGTAGCGATTAAATCGCGACGAGCAAATCGCGTGAACTCTGTCAGAGGCCTAAAAGGGCGATGGAGTCAATGTTTTTAGTTTCATCCCCTACGAACGTGGATTTAGGTCGGTCATCTAATTAGAAAGATATAATGTAGAGTAAATGCTTTGAAATCAGTCAGTTCTTTTCTGCGGGTAATTTGGTGTATGCCTTTCTCTTATCCCGACTGTTTGAGCGAGACGCCTTAGGATTCAGCTTCGGACCGCCCCTAATTTTCTTAACACGTTTCGGACCGGTGCTGCACATGGTGCAGCGCGCGCCTTTCAAGGATATTTTCAATGTTTGCAGGAGGTTTTCTTTTTATCCAAGGTTATCTAATCAAAGGGCTAAGCTCCTACTTTTCAAATGACTCTGTAGAGTTGTGCCGCCGATATATGTTTACTAGATATGAGCAAAAATCGAACAACAGTTGCAACGAAGTGCGGCAACGCGAACGACGCGTGCGACGTCGCAACTTTTCTTTGCTCCGATTTCAAAGAGATAAACCGCAGCCTCAATAGTGACGAGTACAGTGTACTACATAGATACTTTTGAATACTATTTGAAACTGAGTTCTTGCTCCTATCTTTCAAGAAAGCACAAAAGTCCCTCTCAAGCGACAAAATCCAAACGCTGCGAATTCACCCAGAACTTTGGGTATGGTGCTTATCTGGCATGCTGATTACAGATGTAGTGCACAGTCTGCGAAATAAGGTTCCTTTGCTGGCTAACGGCCGAAAGTGCACTCTTTTTCGCCGCGCGCGATTTCGCGGTCCGAAACGTGTTAATCTAGTCTCAGCCTTTGAGGAAAGCGTAGCATATTACTATTATTTATTACATAGGCTACCCCGTATTGACCAAAAGTATGTAACCACAAAGAAGAGATTCTGTGTAGATTTGCTTCAGTAAGGTGACTTCAAGTAAACAAGACAATGATTCGTTATTGTTATTTATCAGCGTTCGAATGCTAGTGCGTCAATTCACAAAGAGCCCCATGGTATGCCTCGTCTTTTGAAATGATTCGCCTCAAAGCAGATGGCTCATAAATTATTTCAGACAATGCGCTTGTTCAGATCGAGTCCATCTTGCTTCGAAACGCTCATAAACATCAACCCAGATTCTAGGGTCCTCTTTTTGAGCTGTTAAAGCCTTCCCACTTCGATCTGACCTCTTTTTACATGAGCAAATCGAGAGTACTCGTGAACAGCCCGCGACAGTTTGGTGTGCTTTTATTTAGAAAATCTTTTCTGTTTTCGGGCAAGGTGACAATTTACGAAATTTGTTGCTCGTGAGAACAAAAAATTGTATGGCATTATGATCACTATATGTAGCAATCAGCTCCTTCCAAAAAGAACAACAACGTTCTACAAATTTGCGACATGACAAGTCCAGATCAAATGTCACGTCCACTCTTCCGTCTTTTTACTTTCGGATACTTATCATGCAAAGAAAAGAATGTTCAATTTGGTGGTATCATCATCAGGTTGTTAGGCACAAAGGCAACGTGCTAGCAAACTGTATCTGTTTTTATGTAACCATCGGTTAGGAAGAATTGATAAGTCTCGCCCCAGCGGCAACTCATGCGAATCCTTGTCCGAGAAGTTCAAATCTGAAGTTCTCCAAGATCCTCACTAATCGTATTCTTTTAAGCCGGAGCTATCTGTGCGTACTAGGCTGATTCGGAAAGAGTACGGTCTGGGCGAGCAAACTTTTCAGCCATGATGACTGTATCTGCCCACGAGCCTTCCGATTAGTATTCATATGAGAAATTTCAGATTGCCTAATGAGTATGAGGAACTACTTATCTGATTTTTCGACATGATTGACTTGGGACTCCTGCTTCGCATAGTCGCCATGTAAAAAAGTGAAAGCCGTCTTTGAAGAGTTTCCTTCAAAGTATCTCAGGAGATAGAAAAGGGGTTCAGTGCAAAGGATCCTGTGAAATCTAACTCGTGAAACGTATCAGGGTCATGCATATTTTTCTGGGGTGTTTTACAACGACAACACGGCACTCTGGTGTTATTTTTATGTCGTTGTTTACATCTTTCGGGGTGAGGATAGTCCTCCTCTAACATTTAACGGTGTCTACGAATTGATTTGTTCGCCTCCTTTATCTTTTCTCTAATTTCACACTAAAAGAACTGATTTGAGAGATTTGTTGAATTTGTTGGACCCTTCTATTGCTCCTTCTGTTTCGACTTATCTTACGTAATGTAATCATTTTTTATACATTATGTGCGAATGTAGACACTGTACCCACTGCGCATCCCACCCGGGATTTTGTTACCTATCTTGCATACATATCTGAGATTCTCGCTAAACATTTCCATTCCTCGCTCAGGAGGAACAACAATTTGAATAAAGACTTTGAAAAACTCACATTGCGTCCCGTGTTCAATAAAATTAGGATGGGACGCACTGTGTTCCATTTTACATATAAGACATTAAATGGGTAGAAGATCATACTTCCGTCTGGCCTTATTGCAGTAGAGGAACTCAAAAGACTCACAGACTTCGCTAAAGCTGCTCAAGTAGGTTATTTGACGCTGATCATAATCATGTCGCATTGTAGCGCCTTCCTCTAGGTTACTGTAGGTGATGGGCGAAAATTCTATTAGGGAGAGTTTTATCAGAAGGGGGCTCCAGCGAGGTGACTACGATTATGATACTGGTAGAACCGAAAGAGAAATTTTTGCTCATCCACCTAGATCACGCAGAGAAAGATCCTTCAACGCAAAACCGAGGTCAAATCTAATCAGCATGCTGAACCTTTAGGCAAAGTTTCAAACAAATTTGGAATTTTTAACTTCTACCGCGTACCCACAGAAACTCGAGAAGACGCTACCGGGCGAATACGCTATATTTCGTGCTTGAGCCGGGTCTATCCTTTGGGCAGGGCTTCTGCAATTGTATTTTGTTTTTTGGGATCCGGAAAATTTAACAGTACCCTTTCATTTCGACCGTTACTCTAAAATGATGTTTATGCTGGTTAAATGATAAAAAGGACTGATTAGTCCTCAGAATGTATTCAAAACTTCATTTCTTGCAGTAGCTTCATTTTGAATAGAGCTTGGCTACGAGTAGGTGAACAATTCGGCCATCTCACGCATTTTTGCCATCGTCATGCTCAGGACATCTATATTGGCTTTCAGATGCAATCTACGACTACCGGAGGATTTTCGTTTGACAACTATGATTTGCCATATGTGGTTGGAACAGCTAGAGGAATGCAGATGATGTGCTGCATCATACAGGTACTGATCAAATATTGGGGAGGGAGGGGTATCATTCCAACACCAAAAATGTGACCAAAAACCCAAAAAACGCAGGGTTTGAAACAAGAGAAAAGTTCTTCAAGCGGCTGCTTATAATTATATGATCCGCGGAATTTATTTAGCTCTAAATTTTAGCGCAGACCGTGCTTTCCGCAATGTCTCGAGAACTCTTATTTTGCACGGAAAGTCTGCGGTTTGTGCAGGAATTTAGAATTGAATTCCTAGCCGATCATAAATCATTTGAAGCGCTGTAGGGCGATGGATTAGCTAAGGTCTGCCAATTAGTATTCACCCACGAGTTCAGCAGGTACCCAGAACTGCCTGAGAATTTCTTTGGTGGATACGATTACTGTGTGCGCTAAATAATCTCGATATGCAAAATATCAGCAAGGTTTTGAGATCTTCACCTAGATTTACCCTAGACCCTTGATGTTGATCGAGGACCTACTGTAGCAACTTCTTGGATAATTTTTCTATTCAAAATTTCAACGTTTTGAGAATGTAAAGCTTGGGTTGACCTTTCTGGAGCAGTAGTAAATTTGTAGTTAAAGTGAATTGGAAATTTCAGCTGCTGATGATCTATTCTGAATCGGCAAATCTGAGCATGTTTTGGTTCTTATTATATTCTGTTCTGTGCGCGTACAATCTGTTTCATCTATCCAAGCGCTGGTTAGTTGCGGCGAAGAAAGTACGATTTGAAAGGTAACCAAATTTTTTGCAGGTATTACAATATAGATGGACGCTATGATCTAAAACAGTTCATCAGGGAAAGCGAACCAACCATTCGAGTTCAATATGGTGCAGGTAATTTTCCCGGCCATTTACCGCAAAAATAGGCGGAAAAATTTTGGCGACGGAAAACCCCTGAGACATTAGCTTTAGTAAACTTCGTAGAGGGATTCCCACACTCGCTTGACAGGAAAATCTTTTGTTACATCGCATTACATAATCGATCAAAGTACGGTGAGGTTACGGTAGGAGATCGGTAGCTTCGTCGCAAATTTTTGTGCTAAAGCGAGCTATAAATCCACTTTAAGAACTCAGTCCACTCGTTTGTCAACGAAGTCCGGAATTTTGTACAATTATATGTATCTAATCTATCAACTTTACATTTATCAACCGATCCTCTACCGTCTACCACAGCCGAACACATTACCGTAGTGCTCAAATCAAAGGTTATGCTAGGTTTCAATCTATCCTTTGATGCAGAAGAAAATACTCAAAACAGGTGTACTTTACAGCGTGAGAATCCCTCATTTTTACAACGCAGATACTGTATCATTGAACTCGTCGACGGGAAAACTATCATAGAATTATTTCAATCAACTCTCTGCAGAACAACGTTAGAGACCAGTTAAAAACAATATTTCAGCGATACTTACCCCGACCATCTTGGGACTGATCATCTTCTGCACTATCGAATTGCAAAATGGACTGGTTCACTCAATATTCAAGTTGGCTACCATCGCACAGTTGCTGCTTGCAATCGGTCAGCTTACGCTCGAATTCTATGAAGTCTATGTCAAAGGAAACTAACTAACTGTCAAAATAGCATGTGAAATGCAAGAAATAAACAGATTAATTAATGTGTGCTTGTGCAAGATCATTGCGCTATGCAGTATCATGTCGAGTAATAAATCTTGTACAAAGTTTTACTCATTGCGCTCTGCAGTATCATGTCGAGTAATAAATCTTGTATAAAGTTTTACATCGTGCAAAAATTTTTTCACTTTGTTCTTCGTAACCACTTTTTGTACATTAACGGAAGAAGAGTGAGACGCAGCAGTTGGACAAAGCGGCGGTCTTGTTGAAGTTCGCAAATCAGAATGATTATGTGGTCTTTGGAGAGATTGTCTAAAAGGCCGTGCTGAAGTTGACTACGCAAACTTGCCTCAGTCGTAGTGTATCTATAGTTTCGTAGTTTATCGGTTAGCGTGTGTAGTATACACTATGCATATTAAGTTACAAACTCGACGATATATAAAGCCGATTATTGGTAAAATGTTAGTTAGTGTGTTCTTTATAGAAATTTTTACGTGTGATTCGATCAGCGCCAAACTTTGCACACATATGTTTTCGACACTGGTCCACCTCGTAGGCTACTCTTCGCGACGAAGTCCCACTTCTTCCATTGATTTATCGATTTTGAAGAATGAACTTTTATTACTATCAAGCCGCTTCCAACTTTCGTGTGAACAATAACTGTCGCAGATTGGGGTCTCCAGCTCCTAACGTCAGTAGTAAGTGCTCTCCTGCATCGGCGACGGGAGCTGAGGACTCCATCCGTGAATGAAAAACCGACACGTGAGGAAGGGTAGACAGCTTGCGCCATGCTCTCATGGCCTGCCAAGCACGGATACGCTCTACATCTTAGAGCCCTAGGCTATCAACCTACCCCCCCCCCCTCCAATCTTGACTGCCAGCTATCTCAAGCTGTTCCACACACTATTAGTAGTTGTGGATCATCAGCAACGTGGGCACTTAACCGGTATCTGCCGATCCTCCATCTGATGGAACCTTCCAGGACTATAGCACGTCATGCACACAACGAACATAAATAGCACACAAATATTCCTGGAGCTGAGGCCTAAGCCCAACACTCTTACCAAACACTAGGACTCTTGAGTGCCCACTATTTATCCGGATCTTCTAACAACTCAATACGATAGGATGAGAACACGCCGGCCAGGTGTTACCTAGGGGCCAATAGAAAGAAAACCCCCGCGGGTGGCTCCTCAGCCCTGCGGCAAGCAAGGAGCACACAACCGAGTTACCTCGAGGCGACGGTCCAGTTCTCGTTGTGTGGTGGTGTTCTTCGCATGAGTTAGCAAAAACCTGCGAGAAATACAGCTAGAAGAATATTTTGAACTTATCGCAGCGGTTTTGCCAGGTTTGACATTCTTTTGCATTTCTTTTTTAAGTTTCCTTCTCTTTTTCTTTTCGAATGTTCTTTAGAACAACTTTTCGAGGGGCGGGGTGAGGAATTCAAATAACCTTTACCTCTTAAAGCTCTTCTATTTCTACACTATCGAATGCGTGACACTGACTATATAAACTACTGCCGCCGATAGCACATTCGATACCTAAGTGCTGGCTTTTTACTGCAAATGATTTTGTGATTATGTATGAAAAAGAGAATCAAACTTAAGATATTTTTCACTGATTCGGGTTGTGTAAACTCTTCTATATCATTCCTTACAATTGGATTGTCACTGCTGAACACATTAACGTAAAGCCAAGCGTGGCACTTTGTTGACTGTCCAAATTCTTATACTCGTCTTTTTCCATTTTTGCCTTAGCTGCAACAACATCTACTCACGTTAATCAAAACATGCCAAGATTCATTGACGGTCGACTTGGAATTTATATACAGTTATAAGTTGGGGTTCGTGGATTCATAAATCGTGGTTTTTCTGCACGAAATGAAAGCAGATATGGATGCAGCGTCAATGATGATATGGATGCTCTGCTGATATGAATTATTTTTCGATTTGCCGCTGCAACCTGGTATTTTTTTCTTACAAGATCGTGAACTGACTTAGTTTACATGTATAGTAGTTTTTGCTTCGAAAAATTTGTGCATAGTTGAGCGATTAGTGGAGGTGGTAAACTTTATGATTTCTGATTTTTGTGAACTGTTTTTAAAACGTTGCCTTCGTTATAAAATGAGAATCAATGATTGAGTTCAAAACACAATTCTTTATGAGAGATTGGGGATGATAGAATCTATCCAAGGCGTTGCAAAAAATTTTTTACCTTTTGCTTATGGTACCACGTGCATTTACGCATAGTTCAAAGGACACACTTCTCATCGCTGTCGACATGCCCCTGCTTGCTTAATCCTACCTTACATGTCTCTTTTTCATGTTGTTTATCACTACCTTAATGTCGCTTTTTCATGTCAAGGCATACGAGCTGTATAACACGCATCCGTGTCATTGATAAGTGAGTTTAGTGCAATCAACGCTTCTGAATATAAGCTCAACTGTTTATGATATCAGGAATGATTAAGCAATGAGTCTTATTTGTCAAAATTGTACGTTTTATCAAGTGCAATATCGAATTTTACCATTTCAACATCAGTTATGAAACCTTTGAATTCTAAACAAAGCAAGTAGAGTAAGGCATCTTCCGTCGCGCACGTTTGCGTTCTGAGGTGTAGTTGCGGACTGCTCTGGTACAAATTTCTGGACTGCTTTGCCGCAGCTGGACTGCTCTGATACAAATTTCGAATCGCCTACGTGCTGTGAGGAACACCTACACTGACTGATTGAACCGATCATTGGTGAAATCGAACTCATATGACTATGCTAGTGTCTTCTGCTTGAATCCCTCTCAAACTGTGCTAATGTTGGGCACATCCATTCAATTTTGGTAATGTCTCTTTTACTGTCACTCTATTTCATTGTTCTCCGCTCAATATCTCTGACTAATCACGCTTGATTCCATCTACTTTGAAAATTTCTACATTTTCCAAATGAACACATGTGAAGAATAACTTCCGTGTGAGCGCTTTCATATTATTTATAGATTCTTGAATATGTTATTTCATGGTCGTCACCAGTGTCTTATTATTGTCAAGCATGTAACGCTTCTTAAGAATTTCTTCAAAAACATTGATTCTTCCAGCTTGGCAGTATCCCAAATTTTTGTCGGTTATGGTCAATACTGCTCGATTATGACTAATGTTACTGATAGTGCGGTGCAATATGCAAAATTCATGTCTGTGTTGTATGCCACGTTAGGTAAGAATTTACGTTATGCGGAGTAAGCTGTACTTGGTTTTACTAAATGCATGCCTTCTGATTTTGGTGCGAAACTTGATTTGAAGCAAAAATGGAAAAAGACGAGTGTAAGAATTTGGACAGTCAACAAAGTGCCACGCTTGGCTTTACGTTAATGTGTCCAGCAGTGACAATCCAATTGTAAGGAATGATATAGAAGACTTTACACAACCCGATTATCAATGAAAAATATCTTTAGCTTGATTCTCTTTTTCATACATAATCACAAAATCATTTGCAGTAAAAAAACCAGCACTTAGGTATCGAATGTGCTATCGGCGGCAGTAGTTTATATAGTCAGTGTCACGCATTCGATAGTGTAGAAATAGAAGAGCTTTAAGAGGTAAAGGTTATTTGAATTCCTCACCCCGCCCCTCGAAAAGTTGTTCTAAAGAACATTCGAAAAGAAAAAGAGAAGGAAACTTAAAAAAGAAATGCAAAAGAATTTGTAAAACCTGGCAAAGCCGCTGCGATAAATTCAAAATTTTCCTCTAAATGTATTTCTCGCAGCTTTTGCTTCAGAATCACCGGTACACAACACTGTGGGGAAACAAAAAGGCCGCGATTTTTTGCGGTGTTGGGAAAGCAATCATGGTTGGAAACTGGCGATATCAGCAAGTAATATACAAGAGAATTAGTTACAAAAACGAACACTTTTATTATAACAAAGTCTAAAGTACGCTTCAAACCGAGTTTGATTTATAATGCGTCTTTCGAATTCTCGGTCCAGTAATGTGATATCTGTTTGCTGTGACGTTGTCTGCATTGTTCTGATCATCATTTTGAGAAAGAAATCTTGAAAAAAGAAAATCATTGCGTCCTCACATTGTAAAAAAAAGAACTGTGAAGAAAAACGCACACTTTCTGCAGCTTTTTACCAAATATTTTGCGACAGTAGAAAAAGTGAGCTGGAGGCGTTGCCTACATTATAGACAAGAGCAATGTCTAACGAAGGCATGAATAGACACATAAGAAAATTAAATTGAAGGGAAACACGAGTTCGAATCTACCACGGTTCATGGTAGGTTACCCGTTTGAATCAAAGAACGGGATTTGGCGACGTTGTAGATAAGTAGACATGAAAAACCAGAAGGTACAATTTGCTGAAATCGATTTTAACTCAACGGAGGAAAGTCTATTAGGATCAAATGTGGGTAGCCAGACAGCGGTAGAAGTGAGGGTGCAGACAAGCTAGCTAAGAAGAAATGATAGAGGCAAAGGGCATTTCCTCAGATTCTCAGTGACACAAAATATTATATATCATCCTTTTCGTCATGAGACGACCACGAGCAGGCAACGTCACCAAAGCTGGAAACCACTTCTTGAGGGTATAAATTAGCAGAATTGTGCGCGACTTTCTGCGGACTCTTTCTCCGCGCAAGGTTCAAATGCGTTTTTTGGCCTCAATTGCTTGAACCCTACATCTCTGTGTACACACATCCCAGACAACCCGATAAATCTCGTGAACTCTGTAAAATTATGCATAGTCCAGAAGCTTTGGAAAACGTTGTAGCTATTTCTAAGAAGTTTCTCATGTTTGCTTTAAGCAAGAAAAACGCTATGATACCAAGGCACTACCTACTACAGTACCGCCCATAATTCGTCAAAAAAGTCGCCGGACTGTGGCGCACTCTGCCACACTCCGCCACAGTGCGCCGGAGTGTGGCAGAGTGCGCCGGAGTGTGGCAGAGTGCGCCACCCTCCGCCGCAGTGCGCCGGAATGATCGTTAATAGCCATATCTCGCTTCAGAATGGACGAATTCTGAATCCGAGGACACCGTTCGATTCAGCTCGACGAGACGCATCATCATATATATAAAGCTGAACGTCTGCTTGTCTGTTTGTCTGCACGTATGTTCCGAATAGAAAAATCAATTTCTGAACCGATCCGGACCAAACTTGGCACACATACACTTCGGGCCCCGGCGGGTGTCATAGGCTACTTTTCGTCATCGATCGATATCGATTTCATCGATTTTTATCTATTTTTTTTGCCCAAAATGCAAAGATCGCAAATTTCGTCGAAGTTCCACCGTGAGTGCTTGTATGACACTCGCATTGCGAATAATATGTTCGCTTCGCTCAATAACTCCACTGTATTGAATATGGTGCTTGCGTGTGCTTCAGCAATTGGATATCAAAGCTGTTTTGTGGCTAGAGCTCAAATCACCAAATCTCACAATAAGATCCATTAAACATGTGAAAAGATTTGATTAGCGTGTTGTACAAGCACTCATGGTGGAATTTCGACGAAATTTGCGATATTTACATTCTGGGCAAAATTCATGAGAACATGTTTTCGTAGGCTCGTAACTCGGCGAATTGTATAGACTGGAGCCTAATCATGCACCATTCGATAGCACATCTCCTAGTAACTTTGACTAGTAAAGCAAGGAGGCAGGTTCTTTGACAGACACATGAGAGGTGGAGGCGAAGTCACGAGCTTTCGTGAGCAGTTGCAGTCACCTCACCGTATCTCTCCAAGAAGACCCTGTAATCCTCAAAGACCACGATTTCCGTAAAGAGCGTGTTCGAAAACCTCTATAAGCGAAGTTTCCTTACAATTCAAGAGCATCAACATTTTGACCAAAATCCACCGGCCAGCTTCAGAGCGTAAAACGAGAAAAAATGAAATTACTCGAACATCTTGGAAAACTTGCTTATAAGGGTTATCCGACCTGCTGATTACGAAAATCACATCTGCTTAGCAAGAGAGCTTCATATTTTAGAGTTACGTTGAGGAAAATTTAGAACGACATGATATTTCCGGAATTCACCAGCCCTTCTAACTCCTATGGAAAGATGCCTGTGACTACTTTTTAGCGCTGCGTAATCTACAGAAAAAGTCTATCGAAAGGTCTTTGCTGGATTCTACTAGGGACAGTGCGCGCTGCGTTACACCTTCGCGAAAAGACGTCTACAGAAAGATTTGAGAATATTGAAATCGGAATATCAAGGAAACGCTGTAAATCGAAAGACTTGCCTTGATGAATTGAGCACAAAGCTTTCTTCGGATTCAGAATATGTTCATTCCGAAGGAATTTACGGCGAGTAGAATTTAGAAACGCGTGATTTTTCCAAAATTCACCAACGCTTCTATCTCTTTTGGGAGATAGTCTGCAGCTTCTCTCAAACGCACGATAACCTACAAGGACAGTACTATCAAACAGCGCTTACTGGAATCTTTTATGTTACACAGACGCTGCGTTACATCCTTGCGAAAAGACCTCCACAGAAAAAATTCGAAAAAACTGGAAATGGAATATCGAGAGCATACTGTATATCAAAATATTTGCCTCGACGATCTGAACACAATGCTGTTTCTGGATTCGGAATATATTCATTCCGAAGGAAGTTATGGCGTTGCGTACTCTGCGTGATTCGCATAATTTCGCGGATCCTGAAATGTCGCGAACTTCTCGGATTATCGCGCACTCTGGCGAAAATCCCGGAATTCCGCGAAGTTCACGGAAATTTTGACATTCTGTGGACGGTATTGTGATCTTGAGCAGATCTTAGAACAAATTCGTCAGAGTGGCTCTCTACCATGCTCCTGTAGTATACTTTCAGTGTGTCATCGGCGACAGATCAATGGTAATACTGTTATCAGCACACTGAATTTAACCAAAATGATAATCGATAATTCTGAAAACTAATATTGTATTCGGAATCCCCATGCTCACTTACCCTCCCCCTGTGCCAACTCCCAACCCCCTAGCTCAAACTTTGCAAAAAATCGATAAAATCGATAAAAGTAATGGACGATCTTGAAAACTAATATTGTATTCGGAATCCCCATGCTCGATTACCCCCCTGTGCAAACTCCCAGCCCCGCAGGTCAAACTTTACAAAAAAAAATCGATAAAATGGATAAAAGTAATGGACGATCCTGAAAACTAATATTGTGTTCGTAATCAGCATGCTCGATTACCCCCCTGTGCAAAATCCCAGCCTCGCATGTCAAAATTTACAAAAAATCGATAAAATCAATAAAAGTAATCGATAATTCTGAAAACTAATATTGTATTCGTAATCTGCATGCTCGATTACCCCCCCCCCCCTGTGCAAACTCCCAGCCCCGCAGGTCAAACTTTACAAAAAAAATCGATAAAATCGATAAAAGTAATGGACGATCCTGAAAACTAATATTGTGTTCGTAATCAGCATGCTCGATCACCTCCCTGTGCAAAATCCCAGCCTCGCATGTCAAAATTTACAAAAAATCGATAAAATCAATAAAAGTAATCGATAATTCTGAAAACTAATATTGTATTCGGAATCCCCATGCTCACTTCCCCCCCCCCCCTGTGCCAACTCCTAGCCCTTTAGGTGAACTCTGCAAAAAAATCGATAAAAATCGGTTAAATCGACATCGATCGATAACGAAAAGTGGACTGTGACACCCGCCGGGGCCCGAAGTGTATGTGTGCCGAGTTTGGTCCGGATACGGCGGAGCCGGGTAAGCCAGCTAGTTTTCAATAAACAGCACAGCAACTAAAAAATACTTGAATTTTAGGGACAGTGAAGCAAGGCGGCAGCTTTCAGAGGCTTTTGGATGAGGAAGCAAAGGAAACTGAGGTTTTTCTGGGCACTATGTAGCAGGAATCCGGAAGTATACCTGAGCAGTACCATCTGTAGTGCTGCTATGTATTGCGATTTCATTATCCCTACGGTAGAAATAAATTTCTGCGGCATGAATTACCAAACCGTATTCGGATGGATTAGAGAAATGGAAGTAATGTAACGTGTGAATACAATGAGACATGAGACATGATCATGAGAGAGTATGAGACAATGCAAGAAGCAAAGAAAGAATTACCAAGGTTTGGAATATTCTTCAATCATTGTTGCACTTTTCATTATTCGAACTTTTGAATGCAATATTCGGATATTCGAATATTCGAATAAGTATCTTTTGAAACTACTCGAATGAATGAATACTCGAATAACCTCTATTTAAAACTCGTCGAATGAACGAATATTCGAATAAGTCATTTTTCGAAATCGTCGAATAAACGAATTATTCGAATATAGACCTTTCTCATTTATTCGACTATTCGAATAATCGAATAAATGGACTTTCTCAAATATTCGACTATTCGAATATTCGAATAGTCGAATATTTCGAATAAATTATTTGAACACGAATATTCGGTGCTAACTATAGTACACGCTAAAATTCCATAGAGCTATTCAGGCTAGAAAATGGCTCTACTGTTCTGCACCAACTTTCGTCCACGTGAAGTTTGAAGACGAAATTCAAAAAGTTTAAGATGACCTGAAAATCAAAAAAATGTATTTTCGTCTGAAAGATTTCTGCGGACCCCTAACTAATTACGAACATACATCCCTCATTGAATTTTCATATGCGCAGTTTCTGTAATTATTCCTTATCTAGACATTGAAAGATTGAAAATTTTTATGCTTTCGTGAAAGTGATGCTGGGCTGTTCCCGCGTAAATAATTCTATATAATTGGCTTGGGAAGTATAACAGTAGATTTTCAACCTCCTACTAGTTAAATCTTGGAAAACACCTTAATTTTTTTTCTTCTATTCTTCAAAGTGAATTCGATATTTCTCGAGAACTAGCTCTTTAGACGGCTTAAATACGGCTGTACTTCCCAAGCCAAGCAGTATAGAATTACTAAAGTGGGAACAACTCAGCATCACTTTGGCAAAAGCATGAAATTTTTCAATTTTTCGATGCTAGCCAAGAAAAAAACACAGCAACTGCGCATATAGTTGTTTAATGGGGATATATCTGCGTGATGAGCAAGCTGGAAGTCTGTAGAAATTTTTTGAACGGGATACGACTTTTCTGATTCTCAGATTATCTGAAGCTTTTGAGATCCCGTCTTTGAACTTCGGATGGTACAAACTTGGTGCAAAAACAGTAAGGCGTCTTTGTAGAGCCTGCTGCTCTATCAAACGGTACCCCACGCACTTTTTTGGGGTTTGCCTTTTTGCGATGCGATGATAGCAAAGTAAAAAGCGACATCCTTTCCTTTCCACCTAAATAGTAATTCTACGGCTGCATTGGATATTTAATTTTTGCTGCCGTGAGATGCCTTCAAACCGCGTCGGCAGCTGCCGCCAGCAAACCCGTAGCAGCCGCCAGCAGCCTGTAGCCGCCGCTGGCCGCTTTTGTTCATGGAAAAAAACATCTTTTCATTACTTTGAGTACATCCGCCTAAGCTTCTGACCTCCCACGCCCTTTCCTTCCTGTTGCAGCCAGTATGCAGTTTCATCTCATACATCATCCCTGTGTAGACCGTTGTTGTTATCTTGTTGACGTAGGATGGTTATCCTATTAATGCATAATTTCCCTCATTCGGATCAGGGTTCGCCAAGGGCGTGATTTTCCTGACTTTGGATGCGTCCAGTTTATGCAGGTGTGGTATTTGTTTATCTTTTGAGTATGGATTTGCTTCAATCTTTTTCTTAGCTATTGGTTAAATTTGTAGGTCGGAAAGAAAATATGTAGCTTTTGATTTTCTTATCATGGCATCGCAAAAAGGCAAGCCTCAAAATGGTGTATTCGGTACATTTCGATAGAGCAAAGTAAGCACTACAAAATGAATTGGTGCCTTTCGCACCCAGTTGGACCCACCTGAAGTTCTAAGACAAAATCTAAAAACTTTCAAATAACCTAAATCCAGAAAATTCGTATCTCTGCTCAAAAAACTTCTCGGACCCCAACTTGCTCGAATATACATCCCCTTGGCTTAAAAGTACAGTCGTAAGTTTTTAGCTTTTCACAAGAAATAGTTCTTATGAAATATCGAATTTAGCTTTATTAATTCTGTTCTCCAAATTATATTTAATTTATCACGAGAATTGCTATGAAAGTCTGCAAATCTACGGTTCTACTTCTCAGGCTCGCATAAGTAATGCCCGTACAGCTATGCTTATGCGACAGCCCAGCATCAGATATGAAAATTTTAAATTTTTCATGTCTAAGGAAATTACAGCAAATGTGCATGTGAATGTTGGATGTATTTAGGAATTTTTTGATTTTTCGGTCATTTCAAACTTTGTAAATTCCATCTTCGAATTCCGCATGGATTGCCTGGTGCAAAAAAAGTAATTTTGCAAAACTAATTTGCTCTATCGCATGGTATCTCATATGCGTTTTGGGCTTTTGTCTTACTGCGATGTCATGACAAAAATGAAAAGCGACATTCTTTTCTTTCTAGTAATAACAAAAAAAAACTCAAAATCCTGGAGAATCAAAGCAATCAGCTGTCGCTGGCAAATTTCACCGCTTCTTGAAGAAAGCTACATTGAAATTTGAGCTGTCAGAAATTTTCCTACAGAATATTGAAAAAGGCAAGAGGCGCTGTTGACAACTTTGCACGCTAACGTGCCTGTAACCTGCTGGCAACTCGTCAGCATGATTTTTTGCAATGATTTCGCCTCTCCTTTGCTCATATCAGTCAGCTATCACGTCAAAGTTTATTAGGCAATGTATCGATTATGCCCTCTTACAGACGCCACCTGTTTGTGGGTTCCTGCTGATTTTTGCGAACACCAATATGTGACCGATTAATTTATTGGTCAGGATTAGCGCGCTGCGTTAAGTCGGCGCCTGTAGGTTCAAACGCGCGAATGTCAATGTTTCGCATTCTGAACCAACCCGCGAAACATAGCCGAAAGCAACTTCCAGCATTGTGTGCCAACTCCAAAATTACCGGCATCTGGATGTTATTAGGTGGGAGAGGGATTACTAATGGCCCTGGAGACGCCCGCAAAAGTGCGCAGACGATGCAGGGCATGCGCGCACCTTGACGGAAGTGCGCATGCTCTGCATCGCTTTTGCGCGGAAAAAACCAAAGCGGTTCGAGATCGAGGATATGAGCACTTTTTTCATGGCTACCTTCTAACATGAAACTTAATCAGGAATGTTTAGTTCAAATATTTAAGCGTGAGGTAGCAGTAAGGAAAGCTCATCATTGATTGGAATCATTCGCAACTCGCCAAATGCCACTCGTTGAATGAATTTGAGAAACCGAAAACAGCCCTTAAGTCCATCTGTTGTTTATGATCAGAAAAAGTTCCTGCGAAGCCTGTGAAGTCTCGGGCACAAACGATAAAATCGTCCTATTTAGTTAGAGGTAGCGGCGAGGACGGTGACGGACTGTATGCATGAACATTCCCTTTGGGAAGGAGGAAGGATGTTCAAGTGTTTTTTAGTATGAATATGAATTATCAAACAGGAGAGTTGCATCTCCTGATGTTTTTCGGTTATCGACCGTTTTTTCTTCAAACTCATTTTCCTTTCATTGGGAGTCGATGAACAGGTCCCAAAGTTGTACTATTCAACTAAACCAACAGCGCTGAGCATGCCACTAACAAGACAATGATATATCAAAGCATTGAGATTTTTGACAAAACCCAGTCTTCAGCTTGTAATTCACCGCAACAAAACTTCGATACATCATTTGTTCTTATCGGAGACATACTCAGCCTGTCGGATAAGATAAGAGAACAATGTTGGAAGTTTTCATTGACTTTGAAGGAAAAAGTGGCTCTGAAGGAGAGGCGTAACTACTTAAATTCGAGAACGTTGAAGCACCAAAGTAGTCAGCGATCCGTTAAACAAACAGTGTAGTGTACCTGGTGCCCCTCTTCATTCCTCTGCGACCATCTTCGCGCGTTGTCTCTCCAACTCTACGACTTTAACGGGGATTTGATTTTGGGAACAATGTGGTTTTCGTTTACCATATCGCGTTTTTTACGTGGGTTTTGATGAATTTGATACACCTGGCTTTCGTTTATCGTCTATTCCGCTCTCTAAGTGTTTCTACCAGTGTAAGAAAGACAAGTCAGAGCGATTACAGAGTCAGTACAAAGAATAGGAATAAATGAAGTATTACTAAAAAAGAATCTTCAACTCAAGTTGTATGGACATGTAGGCGTAGAGCAGCGTGCATCTCCTCAATCAACTTTTCTTTGTGGTTCACATTTTCTTGTAATTACTTGAAATTTAGGTATTCCTTCTGCTATTTCTGTACTTGTTACCGGATTAGTGATAAGCTCTAACCGAAGACTATTCCAAGAGTATGCAAATATTTTCGCTCTCAGTGCATGCGAAATGGTTGAGGGTAAGCTAAGCCTTTTATTCAGATCAATGATGACTTTGTTTGATTATTTTGAGGAAAACGTAAAAGTGAAACTCACTTGCGTCGAAAGAGATTTGATTGATTCTCCAAACATTAACCAGTAATTTGGTTCAGCTACTAGCTACATTTTGGCTGCGTTTGGAAGAGCACCTAAGATCCGCAATCGCACCTTGTTCGAGAAAGCAACAGTATATGACTGCTTCTTCAAG